GAGCTCTCACGAAACTACCCTCTGCCAATAACATTCTACCATGGTTTATCAGAGACGCAAGCTTCATACAAGCTGAGAACGAGTTTGTGTGGCTCTGGATGTATATATTCCTCTTCAGACCGTTCCGATATCCTTTTGATTCAGTCACTCACTTCGCTCTGATTCCCACGTACCAAAAAATACGATAAAAATCGTCACACATCTCATCATTCTACTCTCATCAGTTTTCACGTGGCAATTAGTCAGGGAAATTTTTCACTTGTGTTTATCTGGACTTAAATTAGAGTCTTTTATTTACTCTTCCTCTTGTGCCGAATGATGTATATAATTGAATGAAATGTATATGATTTTTATTTTTCATTCTCGTTTATATTTTTTTATGATTGTTTTCAGGTAGAATAAGTCAATATGACTTATAATGGTTTAGGTGCTATTGAGAGATAATTAATTTTTTTTGAAAAATTGATTGGTTGTCTTGGAATTTTTAATAGAAAATCTTGAAATTTGTCAGGAACCTCGCAACTGCTCCAAAGTATTAATTCCTCATTCGAAATATGAAATTAAATGAATGCCCCAGGGTGACTCCACCCAGCAAAATGAATTTTCATCCTCATCGAGACGTTAAACCCCACAACGTGGAAATAAAAACGACTGCCTCAGAATATCCACGTGAAAAATTTACGAGTACCGAATCAAGAATCAGTCATTCCCGTGAATATGGAAATTAGTTGGTTTATCCTCTCACTCAATATTTTCCCCCGCCTCATTTTTCCCTGCATCCAATGCACCAAATATATAAATTATTAATATTGATTGCGTTATCATTTTCGTGAGACAAAAAATCGGGATTCTAATTTTTGAATTGTTCGAATTTTTCGAAAAACATTTAATTCAAGACGTGAAACGAAAATTTCTCAATTTATGTAAATCTCATATAAATTTTAATGATGGAATGTGGTAAATTTTTCTTTTGATTCTATCAAAAAAATTCAGCAGTCCATTTCTTTCCCAAATAAATGAGTATTATTCCGGGGGCATAATTCCCTTCCCATTTCCGCTGAGAAATTTTTCTCCTCTGAAAACGCGACTAACTCCCCACGAGAGTGTCAATACTTAATATCCCTTTTGATCCACTCTGTACATGAAGAGAAAATGAATAAAAAATTCAGTGGACTTTCCCGTGGCTTTTCTGTATACCCATCCACACTGAGGAGTAATTTTCAAGCGAAATTCACCAGGTGAAACAATCCGGGAGAGCCACGGAGCCAAACCAATTCCTCGAGACTTTACTCATTCCATTTTTTTACTCTCCCCGGCGTTTTCCCCGTTTTTATCCAACTTTTTTTCCCCCACTGTCCTTTTTTCGTTCAAAGCCGAGACCCAATGTGTGTCCTGGCATTTAATGGAATTCAGGAGAAAGCGAGAAATGCGGAAGCGCGAAGGTTAAAAGTGGAAATTCTTCGAGTTAACGAAATTGAAAATTTAACATGAACAGTCATCCGATTCCACATACCTTTCCGAATCTCTTTTTCATTCCCATAAATTTTTTATCATTTCATTAATCAGCGTATGCAGCCCAATAATTAGCAATCTAAAAATTCATTCCATTACAGATTCTCCGAGTTTCCACAGATTTTAACGACAAGATTCATTTTTTAATATTATTGAGAGGTTTCACCGGAAACCATCATTATAATTAACAGAGTCTTCACCTGAATTTCAAGATGAAATCCCTCAATTTTCTGACGTATGTAATCGAATCATTTAAATTGGAAAGTCAAACGCTCAATCCGTAAAAAAGCTGTTGAATAACGGATTAAAATGGGGGATTGTTGAAAATGGGAGTGAGAATCCACCAATAAATCACCATTAATTTAATCACCATGGAAATCCTCTTCAGGTGATTGTCTGCAGGGAGAAACCGGAAGTCTCGGAGTTTTACTCAACCGCAAGTCGTCGAGGGGATCGGAATGAAGAGGAAAGGTATCGCCTGGAGATTCATAAATCCAAATAAAACGTGCCACTGACCACTCGGTATGACCTCTCTATCCTCCATTCTGCGTTTACCTTCGATATATCTGTTCGATATATCGAGTTCCTGTGGGGCCTTCGCGATGAGTTATCATGATGGATGAAACCCCTAGTCTCCATACATTCAGGTATATATATTTTTTTTATTTATCCCCTTTCAATCTACCAGTTGTCCCTTGTCGTATAAAAAGATTATTTATTCTGTGGAGTTTCAGGAGACACCGGGATCAAATGCACTTCGTGTCAGGAAAACGAAAGCCGTATCTCAGTTTCACCTGGATTTTTTATTCCCTGAAAGGTGGAAGGAATGGCGGAAGTTCTTCGACTGTGTCTCTGGGATTTACTGGTGGCTGGATGGTGAGAGATTTAAGGGATGTCCCAGAAGTGGGGAAATGACTGGAATGAACGACAAGCAACATTTAACCAACGACGTGTGTGCTCTTCGCAGTGGTCTTGGAATTTTACGAAATAATTTATCTCCTTGAATTAATTACCAACCGACTTTCGATTCTTTTCTTACTCCTCGCGTGAAAAATTCATGCGTCAGCTGCAAGAAAATCTTTTGGAATCCGCCAATTCGTTGGTGAAGATATTGTGGAATTTTCATTCAATTTTTACTTCCGCGAGCTAGAAACTTCCGTTGATATAATTGACGTATACCCGTTTTACGTTATAATCATGACATGGATGAATCGATCAGGGTGTTATACCCTCGATGCCAAGTTCAATGCCAAGATTTTTTCATAAATGACGAGCTCACGTCTCGCCCGTCATTGATCGACGATAAGACGTGTTATTACATGGATTTTCGTACTGCGGAAAATCCGTCTGCATTCCCCGGATTAACCCCCGACCCCTCAATATTACCATGTGCACAAAGGATTATGAAATTTCTCAATATTGAATATTTAATATCGAGGAAAATAATTTTACCGTCGCCTATTCGCGAGGCGCTCGTCTTTATTTTTTCTCACATCTATTGATTTTTATTCACCAAGACAAATCCTACGTCCGCGAAATAAATACGAGTGCTATTTATTTACCCATTTTTCGATGAAATACCCATTATTCGGTGAAACGTTCAATAATTAGCAATCTCCCTTAGTTTCCGCCCCCATTCAAAAATTCCCGCGATTTAAAAAATTTTTCACATTTTTTGACTATTAAAAATTCCCGGGTCTACCCTCACGGTAATTCGAGATTTATCGATATATTTCGAGATCGATTTATCTTCTCTTTATATAAAGAAGACAAGAATGTTTCTACAAAAAATGGCTGTTCCTTCGAAAAAAAAATCCAGCTATCGCCTAGTTTAGCTCTCGTCTCCAGAATTAAAAAATAAAAATTCCACATTTGGATATTGAGAATCGATTTGTATTGGCCGTACTCGAAATAATGAATGGCCATCATTCAAACAAATATTAACCCCGTTATCCCGTGAGATTAATGATGAAGAATGATGTATGTACTGATTCCCACAGTGCATACACTCCTGAAATAGGAGGGGTTAAATGATGTTTACTAACGAATGAAAAGAAAAATTGAAGGAGGTGAATGTGAATTGCGGGTGGAGAACAATCGATCGCCATCAGCAATAAGTTCAACGAGCCGCAATGACCGTGTTCCTGGATAAAGAGAGAATAAAAGGTAGATGGAATGAGAAAGAGAAAGAGATGGGAAATAACCAGAGCTCCACATGGGCCGATTCCAGTTGACCTGTCTCACCAAAAATTCAGGCCATTTTCGGAGGGATGCAGTTTCACCCTCGGAGGGAGAGGTATGGAGGTATTGCCGAGGAACCGAGTCATTCGGAAACCAGCCGGAAACTCGCCGATCGATATTTGAACTCGTTTGCCCCGATGCATGTACTGTGCATTAGATAAAGTACAGGTACACATATTGTGGGTTAAAAAGGACCCAATGAAAAATGAGACATGTTTCGTCCCACGGGAAATCGCTATAAATAATACACATACAGAAGTCTTATTCGTCAGTTCAATAATTCTCTGTTGTAACATTATTTATCAATAAAGTGGATTAAATAAAATTAATGGACGCAATTAACATATCGTGTTGACGATTTTTCAGTGATTAATACCGATAAATTCATTGTAAACGGTTTTATGAGTCGAGGGAGCGACCGGAAAATGGCTTTTTCTGCCCAGGAAAATGGAACACTCACAACCAATGGATTGGTTTATCTGGAAACAATAAAACGAGAGATATTCCATTCCTGGAAAGAATGCGTCATTTTTCTTACGGGGTAAACAGTAGTTTTTCTATTTGCGGATTGATCCGGTGAGAAATTCGCTAGCCAAAGATAAACAATACTCAGCGATTTGACTGATAAATAAATTCTCAACGAATATCTGAGAATTTCAAAGGCATACCCAATTGCTCGATGGGTCGTTGATGCCATAAAAAATACCATGAAGAAATAAAAATCTCACCAACTTCTTGATGGCCGGGGGAATTTTCATTGACTCAACCGCCAGAGTATTTTCAAACTTTCAATGGAATAAATTGCCGAATGCCGTACGAAGATGCTTAATTCATCGTAATTGGATTTAGTCCGCTTGAAGAAAAGTTTAACTGGATAAATGTCAGGAGCTGAATCGTTTCGCTGAATAAAAATGACATAAAGACACCCAGCGCTTAGACATCATGCAACATTCATGGTAATTGGGATGCAAAAATTATGTCGCTTGGAACTTCTCTCTAACTTTGTTTATTAATTCTTCATCATTATCACTGTCGGGTCCCCGGTCGATTTCTCCAGACATTTTAATTTCTTTTAAGCATTCAAAGAAAAAATTAATTTATGAATATTCCTCGAAGGTTCTGAAAGTCTCAGGTCATTCTCAAGATAATTGATCCACTTTTTTAGAATGAAATTGTTTGAGAACGGAGTGGACTTCGATTTTTTAGTAGAGCCGAAAAAGAATGCAGTAATAAAAGATTTAACTCACCGAGTTCTGGTCCACAAACCCTGGGGATTATTTCCAAAATGGCACTGCAGGACGGATCCTCGAAGCAAAGCTGTCGGGCGAAGAGACAGTTCAGAATGGCAACTGCGGTTTTGATGTTTGAACCTGAAAAAAAAATAAGCGTCAGTGCCTGATTTCATCCTGCAATTAGAAATTCATTGATTCCTCGCTTTAAACTTCTAAAAATTTCCCAATATTCCAATTTCCTGTCCCTGCAAGAGAAGAATAGAACAGGAAGTCATCTCGAGGAGATTGCTCCTAATTTCATCCCACATCGAAAATACACCGTTAAATGGCTTTTACAACTCGAAAGCGTAAATTTAATAATACATTTTTTATTTACAGACTCGCTAAATCCGCGGCACAATAAGCGACCTAAAACACTCCGAAGAAGAATAGTAAAAGGAGTGCGAAAATATCTTCTCGGTGATTTAAGACTCGCCATAAAGCATTTCGTTTTATTAAGCCTCGGTGGAGAAAAGTTTTTCCGCGAGGGGGAAAATTACACGACGCAGAGGGTCTGCGAAAAATAGCACTTCGTTACTCAAACCCAACTCTTAGATTTCTCTGAATGACCTGTCGTTATAATTTCCACCAAAAACATCTCCAAAATTCAATTGGTGATAAACTCGATTAACACGGATTCGAAAATGAAAAAAATTCCATTAAGAAAATAATTGTTTCAAATTGGCATCCAGTACCCCGAGGGATTTTTATTCGCACGACGAAATTGAATTATTTAATCGAAATTTTTTAATATCGATTCAGTGATTTGCGGTCAACGCGGATATCGCTGATTCGTGATCTCCATTGGGGCGTCGGTGGGAGAAAATATCAAAAGCCAAGGTGAACCAAATAATTGAATACTGCTAGAGAAAAAGTACGCGCACAATGTCGCGGAGATTTTTACGAGGTACTCGGGCCAACGGAAGTCGATAAAAGAAGCTCTTCGGAGGCCGCAATTAATTACGAAACGCTGGCTGTCGCTGCAGCCTATAAAGACTCACTGTTCACTGCTTTGTGATAACGTACGTATATTGCTGCACGGGCCACATGTCTGCGTGATCAAAAACCCATTGGGTGATATCAAGCCCTCCATAAAATATCCAAGAATATAAATAAAGTTGAATCAATCTGAATCCACGAACCCACGCCGGAACATCTTACAAAATATATTGCAGTGCGCGAATAAAACATTAAATTGAATATCCCGACAAAATTGCGGTGAGCGAGAACATCGCCATCAATCACTCACTCATCCGTTAAATAAAAAAAAAATTGTCAATCAATTCACGATCATTGATGATTACCAATAACCAATTATCATGATTATTCATCATTATCTCAGCGAGTTTTCAATTTATTTTCATCAGAAAATAATATAGTGATGGTAATGGAAAAATTTGTTGACCTACATTTTCTATTTTCTCTAATTGAACCAATTAGACCGCAATACCCCCGGGATTTTACCATTAATTCCGGCCATGTAATTCATTTGATCGAAATGACGACATAATCGATCCCACAATTTCTTCTCCCATTTGACTTCACCAATGGAGTTTCGATACAGCGGATATAAGTGATGTTCGATGGTCTCGAAATGGAATACGCCCGTCGAATTCCAATAGGACTAATACGATGGATTGCGTGAGTACTTCATCTCCCATCTCTCCACATCCTCAATTACCCGGAGAATAATATTTTCATTTCGTTTTATTACACCCCTGTCTGCCCCAGATGTACCCCATCATGATGCACAGGAGTATCTCTTATTTTCTCGCCAGTCATTCATTTTTTTTTATATTTATTATACGGGTTAATGAAACATTTCACTGAGGCATTCTCTGAGCGGAGTGAAAAATAATTATTTGGGTCGAATTAGTTCGCCAGTCCGATAGTAAATAAACAATGAAAGAATCATTTCATTTTTTATTCTGGTTTTTTTCCTTTTTTTTAATAATGTTGCAATCCAGAATAATTAAACGCTTAATAAATTTGTTGAGTTCGCTTTTGCGTGTAGACATAGGGAATTAATCAAATGCAATTAAATTCGATATTGATTATAATTTCAGTAATGAAAGGACTTGATTTAACTGATCAAAAGCCCTTTGCCTATTATTTTAAGCGAAATATTTCCGAATTGGATTCATGGATAACCGCATGTACCCCATACAATATCATTAATAAATTGTTACAGCGATTTATAAATCGATTATCGTTGGGTTGAACCAATAAATAATTTCTGGCAAGCGATTTTTGTCATTAAAAAAAAAAATTTTTTTTTAAGTGAAAAAAAACTTGAAAACGTAGACCTCGAGACCCCACACCAGGAATTCCCCCGGATCCCCCAAAAAACTAATGATAAAACCGAAAAATAATCGTAAGTGATATTCTCCAAGGACGTGGGATCCGATAACAGCAATACGCGTTTTATAGCATCCCCTGCCGACAATTCCCCAGATCAAAGCCCAATTTTTCCCCCCAATGCCCAACATCCACCCAATCACCACCCCTCATTTACCGTATCATGTCGTCCGTTCACCCCATCACCTCTGACTGAAATGGGCCCCCTCCCAAATATCCAGTACCCCGAGTAAATCCCCCACTTATCCAAACCCCCCCACCAAGACCCCCCCTCCTAAACCTCCCCCCCCCATCAAATTCTCTATAGCAAATAGAAATCCTTTCCATGTACAAAAACTGGTGTTGAATTTTTCGTCGAGCTTGACCGGCTCAATCCTCTTTTTGCTCCCTCAGCATGTACACCAGCCCCTATTCCCTATTTTTGTCACATCGTATTTGCTTTTATTTTCGTTACAACTAGTGTGAAGCACAAATGAAAGCACTCAATCGAACGAGAGAGCTTTCATCCCCTCACAATCTCGGCTTTTCATTTTTATACGTCATTTTTTTTTTTCTATTTCCATTACCCGGAAAGAAAAATGATTGACTGGTTAATTAAACATTTGACTCTGGGCATTTGTGGCTCGTTTCATTGTCATTTGCGTTACGACCGGTGTTTACCGTTAAATCAACGCAACCCTTGACACCATTACAATGTCATTTGTGAAGAGGGGAATGAAGTGGATGGGGTGACTACTGATGAGAGATGTCAATGCCTCATTCGTAAAATAGCTTCATGTTCATTTCTGGGAAGAGTTGGCCGGTGGGGAGTGGGGGGTGGGCTAATTGCAATTAGTGATTGTAAACGAGACGTCATGCCGAAACTGAAGGACACGTATGATCCCACAGAACAGATGTCCACCTAAAATTAACACGAGGTGATTTTCCATTATCGATTGATCGCGAACTTTCGGGGGTGAGAGGATCACTTGATCCAATGTCAGTGGATTGTAATCAGGTTGATTGATCGATCGAATATTAATTGTATTCGTTCGATTTCGTGGAATGCTAAATAAAATTTTATTCACTTCGGATTTTCATCCATTGCGATTACGATTATGCTGACTAAGTGATGAAGTATGATAAGGTAAATAATGATGTATTATTTGAGGGGCCGTTTGGATGGCGAAGTCATTATGATTGTAATCAGTCAGTGGTTAAAGTATAATAAAGTGATACTTTGGTATTTAAATAGCTATAAAGTATTAGTAGACCTGAAGTGTACAATAATTGTAAGTACTACCTTGGGTATGGCAGTGATTTATTATTTTTTTTTAGGATAATCTTGAGAGGAAAATCCGAGAAAAGATTCTTGAAGTCACGAGACATCTCCAAATTCATGCACACAACGCACTTCAGACTAGTCTCTCAGAGCTTCAAGTGTCAAGGGCTGTTTTTCCAGTGTTTTTGTTTCATAAGTAGAGAACACTGGGGAGTACAACACACGGGCAATCACAGGAGAGATAAGCATCACATCGGGGTGTACACACGCCACACGCCTAGTTGACTTTAATTGCGAGACACGGATCGATTTGTCACCGGTACCGAGGGACCCACTGCACTTTCTGAAACATTTCAACCCCTCAACCCTCCTGCACGCACTCTCCTCCACTTTCCGCCGACTCTTTCTTTATTTCTCTCATTCTGCCCCTTCGGTCTTTTCTTTCCACATTTTTTTTCTTCTTTTTTTCACTCTCAGACCGAGCAGTCACGGCAGAGTTCTTGCACGTTCGTGTGAGCAAAAATACGGGGAGAATTGTTTTTCTGTTTTAAATGCGGAACTGCGGGGGAAATTTATTGGAGATTGTAATGGTTTTGGAAAAGTCGATTTTCCGTATTTTTATTTTATTATTTTTTTGGCTGCCCGCGGGTTTATTGTCGTCTGCGAGGCGAATATATGCGAGGGGAATCAAGTATTTGGCGAGGGGGAAAATTCCCATTTGGAAAAACAATTTTTCCCTCGTTTTCTATCTCTCATAAGCCAAAATATGTTTCCTCACGGGGTTAACTGTCAACGTCGCTGGAAATTACCAATAATTCCTGAAAAAACAGTCCGGCGACTAGAATGAGAAGAAAAAGTCTACCACTACTTCGAGAAGTTGAAATACTTGGACGCGCAGTCCCCATTTTATTCTCCATCGTCTTCTTTTCTGTTACAAGCATCAGTCGCCCACGAACTCAAGTCCCTCACTGTCGACTTCGTAACACCATGTTACGAGAAAACTTTGTCGGTTACATTCCCAGTTGTTAACCTATCCCAGTATCAAGTCTTGCCCAGTTGTTTGCTACCCACTCGATACATTGTTTTTCTAGCCAAAAGTTCCAGGAAAAACTTTGCATTCATCAATTACCAGTTTGCAGGATAAAAAGCCAGAGGGACAACGATTATTTTATGATCCGTTTGGTACATCAGAGGATGAAGAGAGAATAAAGAATTTCAAGGGGAAAATTCTCTCCGGGTCTCTGAGAAACTCCCAGACATACGTTCTTTGACCCGTACCATCCTGCCCACTCTATGGCCCACGGGTATTTATTCGGTCCCATGAAACGACTGATTTAGAACCGCCTCATCCATATTTTCCACACCGAATAATTTTAATCAATAATTGTCCCTAGCGCTACAAAATTCTCGAATAATTCCCAAGACCTTTCGATGAATAAATCAGGAAAAACGAGAAGTTACTTGCCTTTCCAGTAGTTTT